ATTCTGCCCATCCCTGGTACATGTATTTATTTATACATGTATTTATAGGCTGCCTGTAACTGCCAAGGCTTTTCTAGTGCCTCCAAGAGGGCCAAGGACTCTCCTGAGCTTTGGAGAGGCAGAAATGGCCTCCAACGCTCCCGGACTCAAAGCAGCAAGAATGTTCTGCATTAAGCCATGCCTTCCCCAGTTGGCATTGAGTTATTTTCTCCTTCTGCCTTCAGGACTTCCTGTTTAAATTATTTTTATTGCGAATGACAAGAAAACAAATAGAACAAAAAGAACCCAACAAATTAAATAAATAGGTAACTGCATAGATTTGCTGTTTCTGGAAAAACAGCTTTGGCACAAGTTCCAACAAAGGCAGGGCAATTATCCTGCCCAGGGTGCATTCCTGACTTGCGTCTGGATGGCACCTGATCAAGGGCTGCAGGCATTGTTTGGGCCTTAATCTGGTGCGTGATCAGAGGTCAGCCCTTGTTCTTCCAGTGTCGTAACACACCCGTCTTTTCACTGTGAAGCAGGCACTGAGAAGCCATTTACCAGTCCCATGTATTAACTCCCAGGCAATCAGCGTGCACAAGCCTATGGCGTTGGGCGCAGGCCCCAGAATCTTGGGACTTCCAGTCGCCTGAAAAAGAGCAGGAGGAGCTGTTGAGGCTGTCTCCCCCATCTTTATTTCCTCACTCTGCAATGCGAGGCATCAGGATAGCTCAAATCCTGGCCTCTTGAGTCTCCAAACCTCTCTGCCCACTGGAATGCTCTGAGGTTGCTTTCCCAAACTGGGAGAGCTGCCAGTGCAGGGGGAGTGGGGTCCAAGCCCTGATTCTTCACTCCCAGGTCGGAGTGTAGTAGAGCTGAATCTATCCTGCAGCCCCTCAAATGCCATTTAGGGCTCATTGCATTGGTCCCTAAAACAACCTGCACACTGAAGAGTGTTCCAATAGAAAGGTGATCCATATTATAACCTCCTCCTAGAATGAGGCCACTGCCGAGCGTTGCCAAACCCTATGATTAAGGAAGCACTGGTAGTCTCACAGCACCAGCACTTAGCCAACGCAGAGAAACCCTTATTAAAGGGATGCTGCAACTTCTTTGATCTCATTACATTTAACCCAACAGGTTTTCCTTCAGCTTAATTATCAACTTCACTTCCCACCCAGTCTCCTCCTCCTCCTTTTCACAATCTTAGAAGAGCCCTCCAGGTAGGTTAGTCATACTGGGATTTAGGTAAAATACCAACTGAGCTAAATATAATCACAAACAATATATTTTGGAGTTTATCTGTAGTGGAAGGGAAAGAGAGTAAGAGACATGAGACTTCCCGGGAAAAACATGGATATTTTAAGGCAGTGATTCACTGTGTATTGTATTAGTCATGGAAATGTAGCAGAGGTGTGGCTATTTACCTGTCCTGCCACGATTTTTTAAAACCCTGGATTGAATCTGCGCAAAACTCCTATCCTCTTGTAACAGAGATCTCATATAGCTTCATATCTAAACCAAACTTAAAACAAAGAATTAATGAGCATACTCATGCCCCCAAAATAGAATGACAAAATAACTGGGAGAAAGGAGTATATTGGGCCCCAAAATGCAGAACAATGGATGGGCAACCAGTAATGAAAGGCGTTAAAATGTTGGGCTCTAGCACCCTGCAATAGCATAAAAATGGGTGATCATGTATTTTATTTTCTATTTTCTTTAATGTTATTTATTTCTATACCACCCAAGAGCCAAAGCTCTCTGGGCAGCTCACAGCGATGCGTTCCCTTCTCTCTGTGCTTTGTGCAGGCTTCCTCAGGGTGCAATCCATGCATGGTTAGACAAAAAACGTCGTCTGCCTTATCACAGTTAGGCTCATGCCCCTTAGCGACTTTTTTTAGAAGGTTGGGAAATTATTTGGCTGAAATTGAGGCAGTCGGCCAGACTTGTGTGTATTTCATCATGTGTCTTGCTGCATCAGCCCTTGCCCTCCAAAATCGTTTGAGCACTTGCTGCGTCCATGCAAAGACTCAGCGTGGCTGAAGCAACTCTTCATCTGGAAAATGGAATAATCGGTGAACCTATCCACTCTCGCTTCCTCTCTTTTCCCAACATTGATCCCGAATCACCCCGCAAACCCGGCCTGTCCTACTAGGTCTCACAAAATTCCTAGACAAGAGTTCCATGGTTTAAAGGACTTTGGAACAGTATATGCAAGCAGATGGGCTTCCCAGTGAAGGAATATTCCTTAGGATGAGCAGGTTGCTGAGTTTAGTGTGTATATTTATTATTGTTACATTATTTATGTTATTTATTTTCCTCTGGCAAGGAATCCCAGCAGCTTACATGGGCTTTTTCCTCTCCATTTTATCCACACAACAACCCTGTGAGGTAGGCTAGGTTGAGCATCTGCGACTGGCCCAAAGTCACTGAGTGAGGTCCATCGTTAAGTGGGGACTAGAACCTGGATCTCCGGAGTCCCAGTCCAGGAGAACAACCACTGTGCTGCACAGATTCAGCGCCACTTGCTTGGAGCCTCCGTGGAATGAGGAGATGGTTAGATGCACTCTGCACATGGCCTGAGGTGATAGAAAGCAGTCCATAAGTAATATTCCTATCTGTTATCATGTCAGGTATTCCTGGCAGAATTTTGGCACGTAACCCAGGTCAGGAGGTTAAAGTCTGGTGAACCCTGCCTCCACTTACAACCTGATGCTTCTCAGCAGTGAAATAATTTAGCGAAGTATTTTAGTGCCTGCGGCAGGCAGTCCCCACGGCCTCTGTTCCCGCTGCTTCTCCCCTAGGCACAACCCCACGGAGGCATCCTCTGGCCTGAGCCAGCCCCGCTGAAAGGAGTGGCACTTGTAGCATCATGAGCCACAGCTCAAACGCGCCTTCCATCCTCTTGTCCCCAGGCCCCAAATCTGCCACCTCTCTTGTCTCGGGGTCCAGTTGTCCTGGGGAGGCTTGGCAGAAGGTCTGCTGGTCACGGAAAGACGCGGCCCTGTGCAATGGGCAACTTTACACCAGCAGGTCCCTGGTTTCCTTGCTGAGAACTCCAGGGGGCACTTCTTGTGTTCTTCAGCAAGCTTGCCCATCTTCGCAATGCACAAAAAACCGGACTGCGCAGGACCCGAGTCGGCCCTGCCACAGTTGCACCTGCCACTTGGAAGCCAGTCCTTGCCGGACCGGAGACCTCAGCTGGGGCGAGCCCCACATTGAGGCCTGGTCTGGGGAACACACGGGAAGCACAGGCGTGAGCTGCTGCCAACAAGCACGGAGGGTGGGAAAGAGGAGAAAAGCAGGCCAGCAAGAGAGCGCCTGGGAGCCTGGCGGTCTGGGTTCTAGCCCCTGCTCAGCCACAGAGCTCCCTGGGTGGGTGGCTTTGGCCAGTCACGCCCTCTCAGCTGATCCTGCCTCACAGGGTTGTTGTGGTGGTGGTGAGTGAAGATGGAGTGGAGAGCCACCTTGGGCTCCTCAAGATGGCACTGCCTGAGAAGCAAAGCCCAGCTGGAGCCGAGCATTCAGGAACAGGAGGCAAAGGCATGGAGAAACAGACGCAACTGGGAAACGAAATGCCGTGATCATAGGGTCCGGGCGGGGGGGGGGGTCCAGCTGCTGGGGGACTGAGGGGTGCAGGTTGAGGGAGGAGGGGCCAGGGGAGCACACGCATACAAGAACACAAGGAGCTGCTTCTGGCAGCCACTCAGCACATGCAGGCGAGGAAAGAGGACCTGGGACTCCACAGGGAAGGGGATCCGGACACGTCAACCAGGGATAAACCGCTGACTGCTACCAATGGGGCACGTCTGAATGCACACCACCTCCGTCTCCGTGTCCCACCCTCCCACACACTTGCTCGTGGGTTGGCCAGCCTAGGAGGCACAGCCGTGAGTAGATTGCACATGTGAGCAGATGAGTTGCGTGCCACCCATGTGCATCTAGGATGCTTCGACTTGCTTTTCTTACACGTGTACGGTCACTGCATTCAACGCTGCACACAGTAAGTTTCAAAGACGAATTTTCTTGTTGGTCCACACAACTGAGTAGCCCTGCAATCAGCTAAAAATCTATGGAATGCGCTCCCCGGAGAGGTCCGCCTGGCGCCGTTGTTATTTGTTTTTCGGCGCCAGGCGAAGACCTTTTTATTCAAATGTCATTTTAACTGTTAATAATATTTATTTATTTTATTCTTTGGCCAGGGCGACTTACTTTATACTGTTCATTTATATTATTTTAATTGAAGTTATTTATGTTTGTGAGCCGCCCCGAGGCTTCGGCGAATGGGGCGGCATAGAAATTTTCTAAATAAAATAAATAAATAGAAATAAATAAAAACGGGAGTCGGTTTAGCCTGAGATGGCACCACCAGCCATTGCAAGCTTGTGTTGGCGTGGGGGTAAAAATCAGCAAGATTTCAGACCGATTCCAGCTAGAAAAAAATGTTGAGGAAAGTAATGAGCATGGAAAACAGGACACCTCTTTCCCTCTCCCACTGAACCTGGAGTCAATCCCGTGAAGCTGAGGGGTGGTGGATTCCGGGCAGATCAGTTAAAGTATGGGATTCAGTCGTACACGATGCAATCCGGATGGGTTTAAAAGGGGACTGGATCAATTCTAGGAGGAGAGAGCCCGCCATGGCTACGTGCTCCATTCCTCTGTGCTGCGCAACACGGGATGGAGCGCGCTATTAAACGCAGGGTTCTGAGACACCCGCGTTCTCCTGCACGCGCGCGCACGCACGCCTCCGCAGCATGCGTGTCACGGGCAGGCGCTGCGCGGGACGCGCTCAGTCCGCGCAGCCACCGCCCCGCGCCCCGTCCTTTGCTCCGCTGCCCCTTTAACGGCGCGCCGGATCGTGCGCCTCCGTGTGGCGGCGCGCGGCCAGGAGCAAGGGGGCCCGGCGGGCGCGGCTGCCCCTGCGCGCTCGCCCGGCGGCACGGGAAGCCGCCTCCGCGGCCTCCTCCTCCCGGCCCCTCCCCGCCCTTATAGCCCCGGTTCGCCCTCCGGGAGCGCCATTCCGTCGCCCGCCCGCCCGCGTCGCACCGCGCCCAGGATGAAGTCCGCCTTCGTAGTGCTTGTGGCCGCGCTGCTGTGCGCGGAGCGAGGTGAGGGATGCCGGGGGGCGTCGGGATGCGTGCAGCGAGGGGGAGGCGCCTGGGCAGAGCGGGGGAGAGCGGCTGGGACGGTGACCTGGCCCCCTCGCCGGGTCTCCTCGCGTGCCGGGGGGAAAGGGAAGGCCGCTGGGAGGGATGCGAGCTAGGACTGGCCGCCATGCGAGAGGTGGGGGTCCGTAAGACTCCTGGGAAGAAACGGAACGGTCGACCAGCTCTCTTTCGTAGGCTGCCTCTCTTCCACAATGAGGTATTGCGAATGGTTTCTTCCGTTTACCGCAAGCTGATGCAGCGCCCGCTGGAGCAGAGGCCCTGCCCCGAGGTGCTTACAGTTGCTGCTCCCAATACCGCTCCCCCCCGACAAGTCGCTTTGATGGCAGGAATGGTCCACAGCGCTCTTGCGCAGCCCAGATCCTGCATTCCTGGTGGGAGCCGACGGTGCAGGGCTGGGTGCGATAAAGCGCCAGCGCGCAAGAGGCAGGGGAGGAGCTGGTGGTCTCCCGCGAGCCAGGAGCTCTGCGGGCTCCGGGTCCCGGTGGAAGCCCCGGGTCCCTTCTTGAGCGAGGAAGGCAGGCTGCCAGGTGCCGGGAAGTGGGCTCATTTCTGATGGCCGGAAGGCGGCTGGAAGGATTGCAGTGGCAATCCATCAGGAAAGGGTTCGGCATTTTTCAGGGAGAATGAGCGGGTGGCTGGGCTGCATACGAATGAGCGTGAGAACGAGGCACTGAGGACAAAGAGCCTGAAAGCGGAGCCCAGGACTGGGGCAGGAAATGGAGCGGAAAATGAGCTGGGCGTTTTCTCCTTAGGTTGTCGCTGGACTGCCTGGGAACCTATTTTTTGGGGGTTTTGGGATTGGAGGGATGATGGGCTCCCAACACCCCCCTCTGGCTCCTCCCTCCCGGGTTTTTCCACATTCCTCATAGCAGCTGGTGGAGAAGTGGATTTTCTTAGCCCGCCGCATAGGCCTGAGCAACCTTGTAAAGTAAAGTATATATACTGGGTGAGTCCAGACTCGAGTCCACTTGCATCGCAAAGAAGCTGCTCTCTGTTTGCTGAGAGGAATCAGCCCACGCCTCCGGGCTGTCCTGCAGGGCGGGGCTCTGATGAGAGCCCCCGCTTCAGCTTTTGCCTAGAATACCAGCTTTGTGGGGAGCAAAGGTGCCTGCTCAGCTGGGACTGCTCCCTTTCTCTTGGGCCCCCCGGGGCAACTGTCGGGCCACTGGTGGCTCAGGATGGTGGTGGGGATGGGCGTGTGTGGGTCTGGTCCGGCCCATTTTTCCCCTGTGCTGCTTCTTGACCCCGCGGCAGCTTGAAAAAGCTGAGGTAACCTGTGAGAAGCTTCTCTAAGGACCGCCCTGCCTGAAAGGGGCCATCCTGGGTGGGGGGTGCCCATGGCCAGCATCTGGCAGCCACGGAGCAGAATCTGCTCTCCCCAGGTTATGCATCGCATATTTTGCAAAGTCTGCTCTGTAAAGTACAGCTTATGATAAATGCTTCTAGATGGAGGGGGTGCCTTCTTCCTCCCTTCCTTTCCCTGACACCCCAAATGTCGCATGGGGGTGAAGGAAAGAAGGAAGGGAGCCAATGTGTCGTGTACAATCCACCTTCTCCATCAAGCAAAATTGTTCCCTGGAGACGGTGCTCGGATTTGGAGTTTTCCACCAGGAGAGCTGAGCTCTGTAGGACGGAGTGAGCTGTTTGCTGAAATATGTCAAAACCAGGGCTGTTGGTCTTCTGCTAAAAATCTGTGAGGTCAGCTGGGAAATCACAACCGAAGGGGCAGCAGGGAGCGGTGGGGTGGGGGAGAGGCTGGGGGGGGGGCTGCTTTGGCTCTTTTGTCTCTGCTTTGGGTGCTCCCCTGCCCCCCCTGAGAAGGAAAAGTGCGGAGAGAGAATGCCCTGGCTGTACGGCCATTGCAGCTTTAGCGTTTGGACTCTCTTTTGTCTGTGGGTGCGGCAGCCTGGAAGACCAGGAATGCTAAGGGGATCCCAGGAAGCACCTTGAAGACTGAAGCAGACTTCCAGCGGCAAATCCCCACCCCAGGATCGTAGCTGTGGGTGTGTCACTGGCAGCACCCGCATGACGGAGGATCCAAAGCAAAGACCATTTCACCGAAACCAGGGACGTGGGATGCAGTTTTTCCAGTGCATCCTTCTCCCCGGTACAAAATCCTTCTCCTGCATTGCTTAGTAAGGATGAAAGGCTGCCGACTGCAATTGCAAGGCGAGGCAACTTTAGGATGGTAATTAGTGTCTTGCAGATGATTATCCCTCGCTGTCTGTGAGCGCGTATGCAGATGTCATCGGACTCGGTGTTAGATGGGACTAAGAAAGGGGGACAGAGAAATTGGGGCACCCCACAAGCTCACTGGGCCCTGGGTTGCGAAGGAAATACATTGGGATATCAAAAGTTGTCAGTGCTTTTATTCCACCCCTGCCTTCTATGCAATCAAGCAATCAATCCTTTATTCGGTCATTGACCAGCCAATAAATAAAACATAAAATGGCAATTAGTTAAAAATAAGAAAAATATAGTACTAATACTAAACAGTAATTAAAATAAGAAAGTAAAAGCATTCTGGTAGAACCTAACAACATTTAGGGTTAATTCTACCATGCACTGTACAAACAACTGAACAATATTTGGGTGTGTAGTCAAGGAGATAAAATCGGATTGATCGGATAAAAGTGACTTAAGAGAAAAAGAATTGAAGTAACTGGGGTATTTAGAAAGGAGTGGGGATAGTGATTCCTGGCGAGCACCTGCATAGAGAGGGCAGAAGAGAATAACATAGAAACAGAGCGAGTCAGAAGGGGCCTCCTGGGCCATCTAGTCTGACCCCCGTCTCCAGCCGTCTCCACTCACAACATGCCCACCGTCTAGAGAAACGAAGCAGAATTGCTACTGGGCAAATTCTGCACTCGGTATTTTCCAGTTTGGCCACCTGGGTTTAGTGCAAAGAGGGGGAAAGCAACTGGTGCCAGTCTGCAGCCCCCCCCCCCCCCCCGCCGGACGTCCACTGGGGCTACTTCCCACTTCCAGATCCTGCCCCCGCATGCTGTTCATGCCTTCAGCCTCGGAAACTTGCTTTTTCCGTTGGCTTTGTCGACTCTCACATCATGCAGAGAAGTTGCAGAGCATTCCTGGTTTTGCAAACACCGCTGGCAGCGTCCCGGTGCTAATCACCTCCATCAGCTGCCTCACTCGGGCCAAGTCTCGGGGGGGGGGGGGGGGGGGGGGGCAGACCCAGAATGGGATTTGGGAGCCTGCCGTGGGCCAGAGCCTGCTTTTCATCTCATGCCCTTGGCTGGGTGGAGCGCCTCTGTGCTTTTATCGCGTGCCCTTGCGTCTTGAGAGAGGCACGCTTTGCAAACAGGCACGCTTTGCAAACAGCCGCAATCGTTGCCTGGGGCAGCCGGCTGGCTCAGCTGAGAGGACGGCAGAGGAGAGGAGAGCCCGGGGCTGGCTCCCGAGGTGGGTGGAGAGACGGGGCCTTTGCCGGGGACCCCAGCGGCTCCAGGGGGCCCTGCCCGCTGCAGCGGCATCGCAGGGCGAGTCTCAGGGCAAACAGATCGTGCATCCCCATCTTTTTCTCACAGGTCTGCCATCTTCATCTGTTCAGTGTTACTCAGGAAGAAGTGCAGGGGTCTGATCCAGGCGGTGTCTAGTGTGTGGCTGGGAGGTGTGGAAGCCTTCAGGCTGGGCGCCTTGTTAAAAATTAAAAAAAGAAGGAGCTGCAAGCACTGGATTTGAGGGGATGCCTGTCTTGGCCCTTCGCGTGTCCGTGGCAATTGTCAGTGGACGCCCCTCCAGAGGAGCTCCTCCACAGCCAGACCCTCCATGCGCCCCCCGCACCTTGGAGAGGGGTGCAGGCGCTGAGCGTGGGGGCCGCACTTTGTGTAGGCAGGGGCAGTCCCTCACCGGCCTCTCCGGCTAAAGGGGTCTGAAGTGGCAAAGTCGGTGGGAACCTGCAGCAGCTCGGACAGCCGGGCAGGTGGAGTGTGGGCCGTTGAGGAGCACGGGGCCCCCTTCCGTGCTCATGTGCACCCCAGAGTCCCAGAGCTGGAAGAGGCTGCCTTGCAGGGCGGCCACAGCCTCCGTTAAGGGCTGGGTCCATGTTTAGCCACCCTTAGAGAAGACCCCTTGCAGTGGCCAGGCCTTGCCTTGCAGACGAATGGTAGGGTACAGCCAAGAGGAATCTCAAAAGATTTGGGGGCTGGTTGGTGGTGATGCTGAAGAGGTCGATTTATGCAACCGCAAGTAGAATACGATTGTGGGATCTGCTCGCCTGGCACCAACACGTCTTTCTTTTCGGCACCAGGAAAAATCTTTTTATCCTCCCATTATTTTAATGCCTGATTGGTTTGAATGTGCTTTATACTGCATGCTGTGCTGTTTTAATTTCTATTTTACTTGTTGTTTGTTGTAAGCCATCCCGAGACACTAGTATCGGGATGGTTTATCGAAGCTTTAAATAAATAAATAAATAAAATAAATATGTACATTTCCCTGTGGCAGGGAGTTCCACAGGACTTTACAAAGACTTCCTAGAAGTAGGCGCTATTAAGACTATGTCCATATTTAGCAATAATGTAAGGCTTACAGCTGTGGATTCTATGTGTGCTCAGTGTATATGATGCCAGCTCAGCAACCCTGGAAAATGAGGAATAATACCAATGCTTCCAAAGAATCAGCTGAAAATCGGATTTCAAACAGCCTGCGGTCACACAGCCAGGTCGCCTCGCTAATGCCCCTGAACTGGGTGCTGTGTCTGTCGCATTACATGAGTGTAACAAGTGTGTGTGACCTTTTGCAGTGTCCTCTCTGGCATGCTTCTCCTGTGAAAATGCAGAGTCCAACCTGGAATGCCTGAGCATCAAGTCCTGCGACTCGAAAGACAAATACTGTATCACGAAATACTTTGGAGGCGGCATGGGTGAGTGCTTCTGGGGGGTCTTGGACTGCTTTGATTTAGAATCTGTGGATCGGGCCCATGGGACTGGCGCGCTCCTCAGTGGAATGGGTGGCTGCCAGCTGCTGGAGGTTCGATCACGGTCTGAGGAAGCCAGTGTCTTGCATGTGACAACCCGTCCTGGGCAGTGAGCCATGGGGGGCGCCGGGACCTGCGAGTGAATCCAGAGTCCCGCAAGGCACTTGGCGAGAGCTGCAGGCTCCCGTTGCTGCCTCTGCCGGGGCAAGCGGCCCACAAGGGCCCAGGGGCTCCCCCTGCCATGTCCTCCTTGTCTTTAAATCCTTTTGCCATTTTTTCGGGGACGGCCCCTGCCAGGCGCCTGATGGTCCTTTGGAGGGGCTGTCGGTGGCCGATGATTTTCTTCCCAGACAAAACACGCACAAAGAGGTCCGTTCCTTCATCTCGCCACATGTGCCCAGCTGCTGATAACGGCAGTTGCATGAAAGTGGGAATTGGAAGCCTCCGCTGGGTCAGCATCCCAGAGAGGGCTCCCGCTGTCCGTGTGCCGGAAGCACCCGTCTGGGACATGGCCTGAAAGGGGATCCAGCTAGATTTTTCTGCCCGCTTTCTCGTGGTTTGGGAACCAGCTGGCACCTTGTTGCCAGAGAGCAGGGTGGGTCGCAGATGGGGTGGGTGGGAGCCCGTAGTTTAGTGTCTCGTTTGGCGGCGCTGGGTGCCAGCTCTCTGGAATCCCCTCCGTCCCGAGAGATGCGGGGTCCTCACTTCCAGTCTCGGAGCGAGTTGCAGGACTGCAGCCAGGCCTTGTGCTAACAGCCAGGGCCTACGTGCATGGTGGCCTAAGTGACGGGCGCGGTTCTCTTCTCAGCCGGAGGGCTTTTAGTTCGGTTGAGCGCTGCAAGGACGCTGCCTCCGCACCCCTCACAGCCCCCTGTGGTGCAGGCAAGCAACCAGGGCACAGCTGCTGCCCTGTGAACGGGCTCACCCGCCGAATTCGGGCCGCCAGGTAGCCGCTGCTGCACAGTGGGCGGCCGGGCGGAGTCTCTGTTTGGCGGCTGGCCGCCTGAAGCAGCCGCGTGATGCAGGCGGCGTGGCCCCCCGTGACCCTCCCTTTCCTTCCACGCCTGCAGGTGAGAACCACAAGCAGTCCATCAGCAAGGGGTGCTCCCAGATCTGCCCCCAGGCCGGAGTTGACCTGGGCATCATGGCCTTCTCCGTGAAGTGCTGCGAGAGCACCCTGTGCAACACCAGCGGCGCCATCAGCGTGCGGGGCAGCCACGTCATGCTGCTTGTGGCCACCGTGGCCAGCCTCCTCTGTGTCTTCGGAGCCAAGCTGTGACATGGGACTCCGCGGGCTGACGAAGGCCCCCGGGGAGGGGCCCAGCCTCCCCCGCAACGCTGCTTGTTCGGCAGAGTCAACTCCGTGTTTCCCAAGCGCTGCCTGCAACCTCGATGTTCACTGATCCCTGGCCGTGTCCTTTGCACCCCTTGGCACGTGTTCCCACAAACGTGGACCTTTTTCTCCGCCAAAGGGCAAATCCTCTCCCTTCTTTCTCAGAATATTCCCGTGCTGTCCGTTGTCTGTTGAGAGTCTGTTCACATAAAGTGCCATACAGGGATTACTCTTGTGTAAGCCCCTCACGTTTCTTCTCGAGCGGGAAAGGAGAGAGTCAGGCTGCCGTTCGCTAACGCTGGCCCTGAGCTTCTCGCTGCAAAGGGCATCCTAGGGGGCCAACTTGCGAGTGGAAGAATTCCGGGTGGGCACCTCAGGTTGCGTACCTGCAGGTTGGCCTGGGAATGAGGGTGCGCCCGTGGCCTGCCCCTTCCTAAGAACAAGCCTGCAGTTCTCATGATGCCTCTGGGGTCTTCTGTAAGTTTGCTTGGAAATTAGTTCTTTAACAAAGTACCGTTTTCCAAGAAAACTTGGCAAGGGGAGAACTTAGCTGGGATAGTCCCCCCACCCCACTCGGGGAACTTATCCCTGGAGAACCGGCTGCGTGGGCAGATTCCCAGAAGGAATTTTTGGCTGGGGGGGGGGGTGGAACAACGTATGACACTTGATCTACTATTGGACTTTTTGTGGACTCCCTGATTTGAGAGCCAAAAGTGGCCTGAGGAGGTTTTTGCTGGCTTCCCCTTTTGAAGCAGATCACAAATTATTTGTGTACGTGTGTTTTAAAGTCGGTTGTGACTTCGGTAAATTGCTAAAATTTGCGTGACTTAACCCACCACCGCCTGCTTCAAAAGAGGAGGACTGTTTCTGGTTCAGCCTGTGTCCGGCAACCTGGCTCCAGACTCCGTTGATGGATGGATGGATGGACGGACGGACAGACGGGGGTGGGGGCAAACTGGTCCAGTCTGCTGGATTTTCTCCTCCCAGCAGGATTCCTTGCAGATCCGTCTGTCTGGAAGGGCTCCGTGTTTGCACAAGAGCAATGTTGCTCCCTTGAGGCAGAAGTCAAACTTGCACTGCTAGACGGAAAATCAGAGCCAGCTGGAAAACTCTTGAGCTGACTCAGTCACGCCTCGGGAGACTTCCGCGCATGGCCAGCCCCTTCAGGACTGTGTGTTTGTGCAACTCCGGGCGCTTTCTCAGGTTTACTTAGAAGTTAGTTCTTCTCTTCTGAGTGTCAAGGGAGGCTGTTTAGGGCGGCAGTCAGGTTTTGCTAGAAGTCACCATAAAATCAGTTACACAAATCCCCGTCAAGGAGGAAAAGAAATAATCTTGTTTTCAGACAATTGGTTGGAGTCTGATGTTTCATAATTGCCACTCCCTTCACCATGTACAGTGTATTCTTCACACAAATCTCTCTGAACCAGAATTAAAAGAGAGCTTTTCCTAACCATGCATACAGTTTCCCTGTCATTGTGTGATATTACGTAAGCAGCTTATTTTCATAACGGTTATTTTTACAGTCACCAAATCTTTCAAAAAGCGATAATCCAAGGAGTTATACCAGATGGGAAGGTCACCTATATCTACTAGGTGAATTGGAAAAATGCTTAGAAATTCCATAGCAACAATTCTGGTGAGATCTATTTGGTTGGCAATAAGCCATCGCTTCTGCAAAATTTCTCTCAATATTTTGCTCAGAGCAGCCCTAAGGGCAGGTGTTCTACCTGGCTGATACAAATGTTTGGAGCTGTAACCTGCACACATCCTGCCCAGTTTCTAAATGGAGGGTTCAGAATGACTGGAAGAGATCCAAGGAAACACAGAATATACCATGCATGTGTATAATGGGCATAAACTGTGGGCTTATGCTCACAGCTGCTGTCCAGCCATGCTTACCTGTGCTGCCAGGTGTGCATGGAAGAGCCGAACTTTTCCAGATGCCGCTTAGAGAAAAACGAGCTCACCTAGCCCTGTGTTTTGATGGTGCATTTTGCACCAACGTCGTCTTCACTTGTGCGCTGGGCAACTGTGCGCCAGGGTGAACCATCCGCTCCTTTCCTTCCAGGGGCGGCATTCACAGGCCTGGCCTAGTGGCTGTCCGGCGCTGGAGCCAGTTGGCTCCAAAGCACTGGATGGTTTCTGTGCAGCGCAGATCGGCACGGGGACTTTGCAGCTCCAAGACAGCAACTCTGGAAGCCCCCTGCTCATTGGACCCAACTCTGGAAGCCCCCTGCTCATTGGGCTCCTCTGCAAAACTCTTCTCATTTCGCAACTCCGAGGGCTTCCCCTGCTATGCAAGCCCTCTAAGTGGGCAGCTCGTCTCCCCGGATGGGGTGCTTCGTCTTGGGGTCGGGGACTGGCAAGGCAATGGCTCTCCCTCCTCCCCTTTGACGCCTCCCCTCTCTTCCAAGCATCCCTGCTCTCCTGCGCAGCCTGGCAACCGGTGGGCAAAGGCCGTGAGGCTGCTTCAGAGGCTTCCGCCTGCCTCTTCCTGAATTCCCCAAATGCCCATCGCAGAGTCTTTAAGGCCATAGAATAGAATCATAGCAGAGCTGGAAGGGGCCAGAAGGTCACCGGGCCCAACCCACTGCTGTCACAGGACACCATGTTACACCATCCCACTCGGAGGGCTGCCTCCAGTCCCCGAATCATCCTTGTTGCCTTCCCCTGAACCCTTTCTAGATTTTCTGCATCTGTTCAAAACTTGGGTGCCCAGAACTGGACATGACTCCAGGTGAGGCCTGACTAGTGCTGAGTGAAGGGGAACCAGAACTTCCTGTGTTTCGGAAGTGATGCTCCCATTCATGCAGCCCAAAATAGCATTTGCCTTTTTTGCAGCTGCCTCACATTGTTGGCTCATGTTTAGCTGCTGATGGGGCACCTGCAGACCCCTGTGGCCAAAGCCCCCCAACTTTCCCTCTTCCCTTTAACAAACAGTGAGCCTGCAGATGCCATTTTATGGCACAGCCTAGCAACAACTGGATTTCATGCTTCCAAATGGGAGAGCCTCCATTTCCCCCATTCTGGCCACCAGCAATTCTATGGAAGGCTGCAGGTCCAGGTTGTGACCATCCCGTGACCTGCAGTGCCGAAATAGACTTTTCCTCCTGCTCTTCATCTTGGGACTCTAATTATGGAGGTGATGTGACGCTTCCATCAACTCTCATTTCTCCTCTCCCCTATTTCCCCTCCCATGAACCTTTTTGTAATAATTTGCATGTGGAAGCTTACACTTAGGGTGATCCTTTTGGATGGCCCAATAAATATATTGCACTGATACTGGGGTTTTTAAATTTTGTTTAGTCACAAAATTGTGCCTGACCCATCATGACCCCCTGGACAACACTCCTCCAGGCCTTCCTGTCCTCTACCATCCCTGGAGTCCACCCAGCCCCACAGCCACCTCCCCAGTGACCCCCTCCAGCCACCTCATCCTCTGCCATCCCCTTCTTCTTTTGCCGTCAATCATTCCCAGCATCAGGCTCTTCTCCAGGGAGTCCTTCCTTCTCATTAGGTGGCCAAAGTATTTGAGTTCCATCTTCAGGATCTGGCCTTCTAAGGAGCAGTCAGAGTTCATTTCCTTTAAGGTTGACTGGTTTCATCTCTGCAGTCCAAGGGACTTTCGGGAGTCTTCTCCTGATACACTGATAGGATTGAAGCAAAGTACAAATGCATTTATCTCAGTTTCCTCACCGTTCAGTATCCTGTGAGTGGATCCTTATCCATTAAAAAGCAGAAGAGTTTCACTGAGCCCTCCATGAAATAAGCTGCAGCAATCTTTGGAAAAGACCAGACCCTCTCCACCAAGTATGTTTTTTGTCATGGCCAGAATGAGGATCCCTTCCCTTTCTGCACTCTGTGCACACGGGTGATCATGCGCAAGCTATGCGTAAGGGCTTTAGACCTGGAAAAGTCGTGGCTCATAGAAGACACTCTGTGCTTAGAACACCATCCCAGAAATGCTGGGCCTTGTGACCACGAAGAGCATGTGACGGGGCTGCATTTCTCCCTGGACACTCGTGTCCGCTGTTTCTGCGCCTGGGTGGATGACACGGAGCACTCCAGCCTTGCTCCGTCCCATCTGCCTCCTTCTCCTCGTGGCTGTTCTGGAGAAGAAACCCCGTGCTCCATGGGGTGCTCCAGTGCTCATAGTTTCCGGGGCTCTGACTCACGCAGGGAGCCTTTATCGCTCAAGAAACACTCTCTTCCGACGGCCACGCTCCCCGAGCTGAGGTGACAAACATACCAGCAGAGGGCAGGGCCGAAGCGTGCTTTCTTGCCCCGGTCTAGCCCTCGTCAGGAGCAGGACGCTTGAACAGGGCTCAAGAGTTGTGGGAACAACGCTCTCTGATCCTGCAATCGAGACCGAAGCTCTTTGGACGGCAGGTGGGGCCTCCTACGGGGTGCAACGGAAGCATTTCTCTTGGATCGTTCGCCAGGATGGCTGCATTGCAAGGGAGGTCATGGGTGGCTGGGCGGGGTGTTTCCAGACTTGGTGATTTAGTCATCTTTATGCACTTCCTGAAAACCACACGGCCCTTGCTTCGGTTCAGCTGCACTTCCCATTGGGGTGGTTCCTGTCGGTTAGTCATGTCTGGACAAGACGCTGTTCCCCACCCCATTCTACTGATCTTCTGGAAGCCTAGGAGATGCCACACCCTGGGAAGAGATGTCCTTACTAAAAGCATCGCTCTGGTGTCACCACAGGTCCGGGGACCGCATGTGCCTGCACACACAACACACAACCACAGTAAGCCTTTGCTCCCAGGTTTTTCAGGCACTTTGCACCTGGGCTTGCGATGTGAAGCATTGCGTCTGCAGGAGAGTATCCTTGCTTTGGCTTCTGAGAAAGAGAGAGGGGCAGGTTCAATGTGGTGGGTGCTGGCAAGTTCGGGACTTCGACCAGGCACTGTGAAGCAGGAACTGATCTGAACAGAAAAGGCAGAGCTGACAGAATGTGGGGAAGTGCGGAGATGCAGGAAGAAATTGCCTGCCTTAGGGTAACCTGCTTCAGCCTGATGCTGTTCCAGATGGGCTGCAACTCCAGCAGTGGCACTGCCTGGAGATGATGTGGGCTGTAGTCGAACACATCTGGACTGGAAACACTGCCTTAGGAAGGCTCCTGGGTTCGCACAGATGTGGACAAAAGCCATGTTTGTGCAAAACCTTTGTGCAAAACCTTTAGGTCCTATGGGCACTTAGAGATCTAGTAATGAACTCTGTAAGCAATTCCACAAAATGGCTCTTTTCTTACAAGTATATAACAGGCAACATGAACTATTTTAACGACAACGTAAACAACATAAGCCACAACTTATGCCAAGTCGTCAGCAGCCGCACTAGCACAGAAGTTGCTTGCAGAATTGCAAAGTTCAAGTGTCGTTTTGAGTTCATATTTACACAAGAATCCAAGATAGCGTTTTCGGCTGGGTCGAGCACCATAGCATAGAAGAATCAGCTCACCGTGCAGAATCTTCAAAACCCTGGAATTAAATGTCAGTACGGTGGTTAGATAGTGTCACTGATCCAATGAACCTGAATTTGGGTGATCTCTGGGAAACAGTGGCAGACAGGCAGGTCTGGTGTGCTGTGGACGAAGTGGTCGTGAAGAGTTTGGCATGACTTTGCGACTGAACAGCAACAACAAAGACTGCATATACAAGATTCCACTATGTGGGTTCACCCCTCCAACACAGACATATGGGAATTAGACCGAGTTGGCACAGGCCTTAGCAGGCTTCATGGCATCAGCAGCTCCTGTTCCCTGATTCAGGTCTGTTGCTTACAGCCTCCCCCGCCCCCAGCCCCCAGTCCACCCCTTTGGGCCGCACCAATATTTCAGAGCGGTCACACATGCGCGAATTGCCGAATTCAAGTGACAAATGCGGCATGTACCCCCCAAACCGGCATTAAGATACCCATGAGATCCTTTCATCACAATGGAAGGTGGAGCAGAGCTTGCAGAAAGAGAGGGAGGAAGGGTGCTGGAGCTGACTAGGCCAAGCGGGCGCTCAGCCAGCGAGCCGTCCGGGACGTGGGCAGCTCAAGCTGGGCAGCGTGGCCTAGCCGGTGGCTTGGTGGGCCCTCGTGGTCGACGGATTTCAGGGTGGTCTGCCCCTTTCGCCCCGGAAACCTTGCCCTGCACTACCTGGGAATGTTCAGGGCTTGGGTTCCAGGGCAGTTGGAAAGGATGCGGACCCCTCATTGCCCAAGGTGTCCAGGCAGGTGGAAGAGAGCCGTTCGAGTTCGGAACAGGAACCCGCCGGTCTGCTGGTGCTTGAGGACAACGCCTGGGAGACCAGTGTGTAGGTACACTCAAGGGCCATCCCTTTTTTCATCTTGGACTCTGGTCCTGAACTCACGGTCTGTGTAGCCTGGGTAAATCTTCGCCCTGACCAGAAGCACTGCTTCCAAGCAGCATTCCCCCCATTGCACCGGCTCGAGAAGCTGTT